TCAAGCGCAAGAGTAGAAGCTTGTAGGGGCTTAATCTTCAGATTTTAAACCACTTAACCTGAAGCTTCATTGATTACTTTTATGCTAATATAATTTTGAATCATAAAAAAGGGAACATATATGTGCTTAAATGAGGATCACACGTTCACACTCCTTTAGAAAAGCTATTCTAAACCAAAGAAATTGGCTCAAAGCAAGGAATTGTTGGAGAACCGAAGAAAAAAAAAAGGAGGAAGAAGAAAGAAGAAGAAAGGAATGGAGTACTTTAAAGCATGCCAATAAAATTCTGGAATGAATCATAAAGAAACGAACATATGCGCCTCCACCCAGCATCACATCAAAGTAAGGAATAAAGGATCATTATTTGCTTTAATTTCAGGGAAGAAAAAAGGAATAAAGGAATGCATAGATAACAAATAATAAAGATATGCGACAACTCTGGAGTAAAGTAGTAAGGGGACGTTTGGGTTAAGCAGCCATCCAGATGCCTCTTGATTTAGGGAAAAAAAAAATTAATGTGTATAAATCTAGATTATTGCATTAGTATGGTTCCTAGGAAATTTTAATATCCTTAAAGATCCCTGTGACGTTGTTGGCCAGGAAAGATAAGATTCCTTATGTTCACTTACAAAAAAGAAATGATTTGAATAGAATATCTCAAGCCTAGCTTGGAGGTAAGAAGGAAAATGTCTGACGAATAAATGTTAAAAAAAATAATAATAACAAAGACCCAAGCAAAACTCAAAACATATGAACCTACACCTACAATGATTTTAGACAAAACCTTATATCATGCACTCAAACTTATTTTAGATTCTTGATTAAGCTCCTTATCTTCTATTAAAGTAATTAAATAAGCCCATAAACTTGATAATTGAGATAATTTAACTCTTTTTTTTTATAACGAATTTAATATTCGTTTATGCCTCATGTGACGTGTTATTATTTACATGGTGGGTATTGATTTTATTTACATAAATATGGCATAAACGAGTGTTAAATTTGTTATAAGAAAAAATGTTAAATTACTTATATTATCAAATTCAATGATTTATTTGCTTTAATAAAAATAAAAAAAGCTTAATTTAATATAAAGTTTTACCATAATTTTAAGTATAATGTTTTGTACAACATAATACATTATTAAATGATGATCTACAAGTTTTTAAGGCAGCAATGAGAACCACTTAATCATTAGTTTGTATTTGGCTAAACAACCCGTCGAATATTGATCATCTAGCACAAGGGTAATATAGAAATTTTCAAAGAATGAGTAAGTTTTTTTTTTTTTTTTTTTAAATGTAACCTTAAAGTCTCTCCCACGACTACAGCTTAGCATGGATATATAATATATAGTTTCTTCTATCCACTACTATCTACCGCTGCATTCCATTATAACACTATAGACTCTCCAGCATTTGCATACTTTCTTCAGAGCTATTGAAGTGAAGATGGCTGACTTTGTCTTGGGTCCTATTATTGACGCCACCATATCGAAGGTGATTGCAGCCGCTACTCAACAAATCCACCTTGCAGTCAGTTGGAAGGCAGAGCTCAAAAGGCTTTGCAGCAAGTTGAACATGATCCATGCTGTGTTGCAAGAAGCAGAAAGCAAGCAAGTTGAAGTTCCAGCTGTGAAGCTTTGGCTTGAGAAGCTCAGAGACGTGGCTCGGGATGCTGAGGATGTTTTGGACGAGCTTGTTTATGAAAGACTGAAACAGGAGGTACAGATTCAAAAGCAAATGAAGAAGAAGGTCTGTCTCTTTTTCACATTTTCCAATCCTTTCATATTTCGTCTCAAGATGGCTAATAAGATTAAGAATCTTATTGCTTCTATAGTCGAGATTAATGAAGAGGCTACTCAATTTGGACTTCAGTCTAGACTTGCTATCCATGAACCTAGAAGCAACCCTCAAACAGCAAACTCCTCTCTTGTTTATTGTCCTAGAATCATAGGAAGAGAGGATGATGTGTCAAAAATAGTTGACTTGTTGGTTGACTCAAGTAATAAGGAGCCCCTTTCTGTCATATCTGTAGTGGGTATGGGGGGTCTGGGAAAAACTACGTTAGTAAAATCAGTGCAAAATCATGAGAAAATAGTGAGGAATTTTGGTAGAATAATGTTCATTTGTGTGTCTGAAGATTTTGATGTCAAAAGAGTCCTAAAAATGATGTTAGAATCTCTTACCAAAGAGGGTTGTCCAATTGATCATGAGGCTACCATAGTGGGAAAAATACAAGATGAGTTAAAAAATAAAAACTATCTGCTCATCTTAGATGATGTGTGGAATGAGGATAAATTGAAGTGGGAAGCCTTAAGGGGTTGTTTGCTAGAAATAAATAAAAATAAGGTGAGTAGAGTAGTTGTGACAACTCGAAGTGAAAAGGCAGCATCCACAATGGGAACACTTAGAGAACACATGTATCATCTTCAAGGACTAGAAGATGATAAGTGTTGGTCTATAATAGAGCAGAGAGCATTTAGAGGTTCTTCAGTACCTAATTTGGAGTTGGAAGTGATTGGAAGGCAAATTGCTAAAAAATGTAGAGGTGTGCCCTTAGTTGCCAATGTCATTGGGGCTAGTTTGAGCAATCGAAGGGATAGAGGTGAATGGGAGTTAATTAACAATAATTTTGATGCAAGCAGTTCACTGGAAGATGATAATAGGACATGGATTGTTCGAGTTTTACAACTGAGTTTTGATCGCTTGCCCAACACAACATTGAAGCAATGTTTTGCCTTTTGTTCCATTTTCCCCAAGGACTGGGAAATTGAAAAGGAGATGCTAATTCAACTTTGGATGGCTGAAGGCTTTCTTCAGCCATCACAAGGAAGTTTGATGGAGGATATTGGTTACAAGTATATCAATGACTTGTTATCATATTCTTTGTTACTGGAGGAGGAAAGAGATTCAACAGGAAAGATTAAGTCATGTAGAATGCATGATTTAATTCATGATCTTGCCACTTACAATTCAAAATCTGAAACACTTATGTTGAAAGCTGGTTCAGAGAGCAACATTGCACAGGTTCGGCATTTGAATCTCGTTGATGCTAAGGATATAGTGCCTACAAATTTAGCGGAGGTGGCTGGAAAACTACACTCCTTATTCCTCAAAGGTGATATTTGGTACAAGATGCCAGATAGCTTCAAAAGGTTACGCATTCTTAGCTTTGAAAAAGATAGCCTTCGGAGAGCTAATATTGAGCAGTGGCCAACTTGGATCGGCAAGATGAAGCATTTGAGGTATCTAGACATTTCATACACCGACATTAAAGAACTACCCCAGTTTATCATGGAGTTGTATAGTTTGCAGACACTGAGGTTCATGTATTGTTTTCGGATTGTAAAACAGCCAGAAGGGGTGGAAAACTTAGTCAGCTTGAGACACATTTATTTCAGTGAAAAAAGCTGTATGCCACTCAGAATTGGTAGGCTAAAGGATCTTCAAACGTTGCAGTTATTTGTTGTCGGTCTACAAGAGGGAAGTCGAATTGAGGAATTGGGATGCTTGAGCCAACTTGGAGGTAAATTAACAATATGTCACCTAGAGCATGTTGAAAACTACTCAGAAGCCGAGAAAGCAAAACTTTCAGAAAATATTGAACTTTATGAGTTGAGTTTGGAATGGACAGAAAGAAATACAGAAGAATGTAATCATGATGAAGATGTGTTAGCAGGCCTCAAACCTCCCCCAAATTTGAGAAACTTAACTATACTATGCTATGGAGGTGAAAAATGTCCATCATGGATGGATTCTAGTTTGAGTGGATCATTTTCGCTCAACAATTTGGTGGACTTGAACATCGCAGCATGTGGAAAGTTGAAAAGCATGCCAATCATGATCGGGTTATCATCTCTTCAACAGCTTCGAATTAGTCATTGCCTTGAATTAACCAGAATCGGAGATGGAGTATTTGCCTTTCCGAAGTCCCTCAGACGACTAGCCATTTGGTCATGTCCTAGGTTGGAAACAATTGGGGATGGTATTTCGACCCTCACATGCCTAGAAGAGTTAGATCTAGAGGAATGTGAAGATCTGAGGCTCATTCCAATCATGAGGGGGTTATCATCTCTTCAACAGCTTCGAATTTTAACTTGCCTTGAATTAACCAGAATCGGAGATGGAGCATTTGCCTTCCCGGCGTCTCTCAGACAACTACGCATTTGGTATTGTCCAAGATTGGAAACAATTGGGGAAAGTATTTCGACCCTCACATGCCTAGAAGAGTTAGATCTATATGGATGTGAAGATCTGAGGCACATTCCAAGTGTACATGGGCTTTCCTCTCTAAGAAAGTTACTTATTTCCGAATGCAGTTCAGTGGTGAGTCTACCAAATGGACTGTCCTCCTGCACTGCTCTTCAAGAATTGATCATAAGGGACTGCCATAATCTGATCTCCATCTCAGAAGACTTGAAGGATTTGCATTCTCTGGTTGATTTATGTATTATGAGATGTGAAAATTTGAGGACTATTCCAGAGGAGAGCTTCAGCTGTCTTGTCTGCTTGGAGTATTTGGGAATTGGTGATTTCTCAAAAGAGTTGGAGGAATTCCCATATCTTAATTCCATCCACCACCTCCACGCCTCCCTTCAAGAATTATGGTTGCATGGGTGGGAAAAACTAACGTATCTACCACCTCAAATTCAACACCTCACTTCTCTAAGGCATTTGACAATATTTGATTTCAATCAAGTGGAAGCTTTGCCAGAGTGGTTAGGAAGCTTGTCATCTCTTCAAACTCTCTGGATTCACAACTGCGCAAAATTGAAATATCTGCCTTCTGCACAAGCCATGCAACGCCTCTCCAAGTTGCAGTATCTTGAAACTACTGAATGTCCAGGGCTCAAAGAAAGATGTGCAAAGGAAACCGGCCTTGAATGGTTCAAAATTTCTCACATTCCAAACATCCGAATAGAATTTGAGTACATCCAAGGACATGAGCCCTTTTTCTGAGGTATATTTAAATTTCTCAATCCTCAACTTCTCTTCTTCCTCATAATAAATTCCATCACTAATTTTGCTTCTTTCATCAATTCAGACTTAAAAGCAACAACAAAAGTCAAATTTATCAATTCAGAGGGTTACTTATGGCTGCTTCAATTCTCTTAACCTACAATGCTTGTAAAAATTCTTTAAAAGGTAATTTCTTATTACTCCAACTCTTTTCCATATAAGAATTCTTTTAAAAGCTTGTTTGGTTTATGGGGAGGGGGTAAAATTCCCCATTTGGGTAACAAAAATTGGAGGGGAGGGAATGAGAGAGAGGATTTACCTTTAATTTCCTTTATAATTTTAGTATAACTTAATGAAAAAGGGAGAAGCAAGCAAGAGGGAGGCAAATGGAAGGATGTTATGGCGCCTCCATTCCCCACAAACCAAACAAGGGTAGGAATTTCTCATTATTCACAATGTATAATAAATGATTCCTATGGTTTGAAAGAATTGAAAATGGGTGGTTTTCTCGAACTATTTATGTACGTACATGTTGAGTCTACTGGAAGTGTTTGTCCACGATTGAGTCTGCATCTTTGTATACATATATATGCATAGGTCACTGGTTTACAGGTGCCTAAGAAATCCTCATCAATCTAGTAAGTTCTTAGAACTTGTAGCATGGTCTTTGAGTTGGGTTTTATGAACTAGCTTCAAAATTTTTATCATACAACTTGTTAGCGTAAGTATCCAGTAGGAGTAGGGTCTTAAATTATTTGAAGCAATCTATTTATGGCAGTATCAGATGCAGAGTAGCTTCTAGCTTTCATAAATATATAATTAAGTATAATTTTCTCATTCCTTAAGCAATTGAAATGAATATGATTCTTGTCCCCTGCTTCTAATTTTTCATTGTAAAAGATAGTTTTTGTAGTCTGTTACTATACTAATTATTTGATTTTTCCTGTTTTACTGAAAAAACTAAACTTTGATTAATATTGGTTAACTTTACAACCTTGTGAAATGTCGTGTTTAGTTATTTGAATTAATTGTATAAGGAAATAATCAAAGTAATGATGAGGGTTTACTTGGTTTTATGTTGTTTTCTAGGGATTCCTATGCACTTAAGATGAGCAAGCTCTTGCTGGTTATTTTTATGATATTGTTTTGAACAGCAGCATCTTGAATATTAAGGATTTTGATTATAAGAGTTCTATAAAGGGGAAGCTTTGATACAATTGTTGGAGAACTTGTTCATTATTGGAAGACCACATTTCTACTCAATCTGAAATAATTGCCTTCTAATGGAGCCATGCAATGCCAAGAGGTACTGACTGATTAGAAGTTTCTTGCATTCCAATATTCAAGTAGAATGAGTGCATCCCATTCCAAGAATATTGAGCTTCTCAGGTATATTTTCTAAACCTCAACACCTCTTATTCCTTAAAAACTTCCCATCACTAAGCCTATCTTTACCCTATCATTAAGCATTTGTAACTTTTATGAAATCTAACTCTTAAGCAGCATCAATAATTAAATTTGTCAATCCATAAGGTAAACCCAGGTTGTTCCAATGTTTGCAATGCATAAGGGATTCCTTTAGGTGTCCTCTTTTGGGTTTTCTCAAAAAGATAAATTCATTTTTCATAAATGAAATAAATAATTTACACTGTAATAAATTTTATTTCATTAATTCATTTGTCCTAGAACTATTTGCTGGTTATGCAGTAATGGAGTTATCATGTACCTTGGATTTGAGCATTTGAAGAACCTTAGGTACTGTTTAATTCACACCATGGAGAAGCAGCAGGGAGAAGGGAGGAAGCTTCTTGAAATGTAAAATATTATTCAAGTCTGCCTTCTAGATCGTATGTGTATTAATTAAGTATTATGTCTTTACAAGCATGTATAGTCTATGCAATTGGATTAAGTATTTATCTTGAAAATTTTGATAGAAAGAATGCTTGTAGGTGCTCATGATTAGTATCACATTCCTTGTGCCATATGGCATTTTGTACATAAAGAGAAGAGTGAATGTAGCTTAGCTTATGGACTCTCTGATTATAGAGAGTTTTATAAATTGGAAGCTTTGGCATAGTTGTTGTAAACTTGATCTCTATTCAGATATTCAATTTCTGTCCAAAATTTGAAATATTTGCCTTCTCCTAGGGCCATCCAATGCGAAGAGGTACTGATTGATTCAAAGTTCCTCACATTCCAATATCCAAGTAGACCAAGTGCATCCAATTCTAAGAAGATTGAACATCTCAGGTATTTTTATTAAACCTCAGCTTCTGTAAAAACTTCCCATCCATCGCTAAGTTTATCCTCACCATCACCATATTAGTAAGCACATTTATCTTTTTGTCAATTCAGACTTCAAAGCAACACCTGAAATCAAATTTGTCAATTTATATGGTAGTCCCTGGATGTTCCATTTTTTTGCAGGGCAATACATGAGTAATACTTCTAGGTAATCTTATTTTCTGTTTTCTGAAAATGTTGAATTCATGTTTCATAAAAGATGTCAACAATTGACCATACAACAACTTTTATTCGCTCCCTTTTTCTAGACCAGTTTATGTGAGAATGATCCAATTATCCAAACATGGAACTATTGATTTCACATGCTTAGAGATGAGTACAGGTTAGAACTATTTTAAATTACCAGCACATGAAATCTATTGCATTCTTCCTTTGATGGTGTTTTTAGTTATCATACTCTCTCTCATCCTATCTCCATTTTATCAATTTTGCAGAACTTAGCCTTAAACTTAGTGTCACTCTGTAAATTGAAGCAGAAGAAGGAATTATGTCATACATGACTTTTAAGGTTAGATTCTTAAGAACTGACCATTTTCTCAAAACTTAGCCATCAATTGTCACTCCATAAATATTTGCAACTCATGTCACTTTTCTTTAATATATGTAATTTTTTTTTTTTTATCAGTCATGTCTGTTATTTGGAATCTTTGATTTGAAGTT